GCTTTTTGCCTCTCTGCATTATTGCGCTCTTTTTTGGCACCCTTGTGGTCTTGCACTGCTTTATTGCTTCTTTGCGTTCTTGCATGCTCTTTTGCATCTCCGCATTCCTGCACTCCTTTTTGCATCTTCACATTTTTGCAGTGGTTTTGCATTCTCACATTGCGTCTCACATCTTTGCATTCTTGCCTCCTTACTTGCACCTTTTACATTCTTGCATTGGTTTTTGTGTCTCTGCATTCTTGCACGCTTCTTTGCATCTGTGCATTTTTTCTTTCTTTCCTTTGGCATTTTTGCATTGTTTTTTTCTTTTTTAGCATTCTTACTTCATTTTTTACATCTCCACTTTTTGCATTACTATTTGAACCTTCACATCTCTGCATTCTTTTTTACATCTGGGCACTTTCACATCACCTCTGACTTTTTTGGCACTGTTTGCATTATACTTTTGCTTTCCTGCATTCCGTTTTGCATTGAGCTTTTGCCGTTACTTTTTGCATCTTTGCACTGGGGCTTTGTTTTGTGCATCTCTGCATCCTGACACTTAGGTGTTGCATTTTTGCATTTGTGCTTTTTTTTGGCTATTTTTGCATCATTTTTTGCATCTTTCAATTTTTGCATTACTTTTTCCATCCTTTCATTTTCACAGCATTTTTTACATTTTTCTATTTATGCGTTACATTTTGCATCCTTTCTTTCTTGCATCTTTCAATTTCTGCATCATTTTTTGCGTCCTTCCATTTCTGCATCATTTTTTGCATCTTGCCATTTCTGCATTATTTTTTCATTCGTTTCCACATTATTTTCTGCACTTTTGCATTTCCGCATCATTTTTTGCATCGTTTTATTTTTGCATTCTTTTGCATCCTCCCAGTTTGGCGTGACTTTTTGCACCCTTTCATTTCTGCACCATTTTTTTTTTTGCATCTTTCCACTTTCGCATCGTTTTTTGCACCCTTTCATTTCTGCACCATTTTTTTCGCATCTTTCCACATCTGCTTTATTTTTTCCATCCTTCCGTTTTTCACGTCGTTTTTTGCACTTTCTCCACCTTTTTCCGGCATGTTTCATTTCTGCATTATTTTTTGCGCCCTTCCGTTTTTTGCGCCCTGGGTTTGCGCCCTCCCCCTTCCCGCCTCCCTGTGTGCACCCCCCGCTCTGGCGGGCGCGCGCCCCGTGTCTGACACCCCGCGCCCCGCAGGGTCTCCATCCGCCTGCCCAGCACCAGCGGCTCCGAGGGCTCCGTCCCCTTCCGCTCCGTCCCCGAGTGGCTGGAGTCCATCCGGATGCCCCAGTACACGGAGCACTTCATGGCCTCGGGCTACAGCACCATCGAGAAGGTCCTGCAGATGACCAGCGAGTGAGTCCCCGGGGCGTGTCCCCGTGGCGTGTCCCCGTGGTGTGTCCCTGTGGCGTGTCCCCGTGGTGTGTCCCCGTGCTGTCCCCTTGATACTCCCACACCATCCCCATGGTCATTCCCCATGGTGTCTCCGTGCTGGCCCCTTGACATTCCCACACCATCCCCACGGTGTCCCTGTGGTGTCCCCACAGGGCCCTCATACCGTCCTCATCGTGTCCCTTTGGTGTCCCCACACCGCCCCCACGCTGCCCCTATGATGTGTCCCCCCATGCCATCCTCCTCTTGTCCCCATGGTGTCCCCACGCTGTCCCCGTGCTGTCCCCTTGACACTCCCATACTGTACCCATGGTGTGTCCCCTTGGTGTCCCCGTACCACCCCCTTGGTGTCCCCCATATGTCCCCGTACCACCCCCTTGGTGTCCCCCCAAATGTCCCCGTACCACCCCCTTGGTGTCCCCCCAAATGTCCCCGTACCACCCCCTTGGTGTCCCCCCTCCTGTCCCCATACCACCCCCTTGGTGTCCCCCCAAATGTCCCCATACCACCCCCTTGGTGTCCCCCCCAGTGTCCCCGTACCACCCCCTTGGTGTCCCCCTCCTGTCCCCGTACCACCCCCTTGGTGTCCCCCACATGTCCCCGTACCACCCCCTTGGTGTCCCCCTCCTGTCCCCGTACTGTCCCCTCCAGCTCCCGCGGGGACAGGGACGTGCTGGGAAAGGAAACCGCTTCCGTGCCGTTGGCGGGGTTGCCCCGAGGGACGGGATAAAATTAGACATTCCCTGGCCGGGATCCGGCCCGAGAGGTCGGGATGAGCCGTGTCCGTCCGTCCGTCCCCCGGGAATGGCCGTCAGGGGGGACAAGGCCCCCCCAAACCAGGGCGTGGGGCTGGATCTGTCCCCAGGGGATCCCCCCCGCCCCCCCCAGCCCTGCTCCCACCTGGACCTTTTTCGGGTTCTTTCCACCCCAACAACTGATTTTGCTTTTTCTTCCCCCCCCTCTTCTTTTTTTTCCAGCGACATCAAGAAAATCGGGGTGCGGTTGCCGGGGCACCAGAAGCGCATCGCCTACAGCCTGATGGGGCTGCAGGAGCAGGCCGGTGCCGGGGGGGTCCCCATTTAACCCCCCCCCAGCACCCCCAAAATACTTGAAAGCAACCAAATGAAGACACCCCCCCCCCTCCTCCCCGAGGGGTTTATTTATTATTTCTATTATTATTAAGATTTTTTTTTATAGTATTATTATCCCTGGGGTTGGGGATGAAATGGGTGTCACCTCCATCCTCCTCTCCACCCCCCCCCCCCCCCCCCAAAAAATTAAATTTCAAGCTCAGTTTGGGCTTGGGGGGGGGGTGTGTTTTGGGGGGTTTCCTCTTTTTTTTCCACATTTCAAGAAAAACAAGAAAAAGGGCTCAGCCCCAGAACTGGCTTATTTTTGCTTTTTTTTTTCTCCCTATTTATTCCTCTCCCTCTGGGTTTTTGGGTGTTTTTCATTTTGCCCCTTTAACGCTGATCTGCCAGTGTTACCTTTTCCTTTTATTTTTTAACCTAATTTATTCTATTTTTGTATATTTATTGCAAGGAAGCAAAGGTCGTGTCAGATTTGGGAGAGCAAAAAGGGGGAAAATGAAAAAAAAAAGCAAAAACCAAACAAACCCAGATCCTTTTTTTTTTTTTCCCCCCTTTTTTTTCCATGAATTTTTGGGGGTTTGGGGAATTTTTGTGGGGTTTTGATTCAAATAAAAATATGCTTTTTTGTTTTCTAGAATATCGTCATTTCCCCCTGGTTTGCAGAGATTGCTGGAATTTGGGGAACAAAGGAGGGGGCTTTTCCCCTGGTTTTAAGGGAGCTTAAGGGTGTTTTTAACTGGTTTTAAAGGATTGTTAAGGATTTTTTGAGGGTTTCTAAGGGTGTTTTTAAGGGGTTTTAAGGATTTTTTTTTTTTTAAAGGGGCATTTAAGGGGGAGTTTAAGGACTTGAAGGTTTGGGGGGTTTTAAGGGTTTTTAAAGGGTTTAGGGGTTGTTGGGAGGGGTTCTAAGGATTTTTTTTTTTAAGGGGAGGATTTTAAGGGGGAGTTTAAGGAGTTGAAGGGGTTTTTTTTAAGGTGTTTAAAAGGGTTTGTAAGGGTTTTAAAGGAGGTTGTAAGGGAGTTCAGGGGGCTGTAAGGGAGTGTTCAGAGGGTTTCTAAGGGGTTTTAAGGATATTTTTATGGATTTTTTTTAATGGGGGAGTTTAAGGAGTCAAAGGGGGTTTTTTAAGGGGTTTAAAGGGCTTTTAAAGGGGGTTTAAGGGAGGTTTTAAGGGGTGGAGTGTTTCCCACCCAGGGCCTCTTTTCCTCAGCAAAATCCCACGAGGAATTTGGCCTTTTTCTTGCCCACCGCTCCCCCCAAAGCCAAACCCGCGCCCCGGCGGCAGCGGGGCCGGCTGCCCGGTGCCTGCAAATAACAGGGTGGGAAAAAGCCAGAAAAAGTTGGAGGAGAAAAAGGGGGGGGGGAGGTTTGCCCAGAAAGCATAAAAATGTTGGCGGGGGGGGGGGGAGGTCGTTTATGGTTCATCTTGCTGGAAAGCCGCCGTTTGGGTGGTTTTCACCCTCTTCTGGGGTGTTTGGGCCTGTGGATGCCCCACGCGTGTCACGAGTTTGCAGGTCTCAGCTTGCCCCCGCCCTCGGTCAAAGTCCAGCAGTGCCCGGGGGGGGGGGGGTGGGGAGGGGGACACACACACCCCGGATTTGGGTGCGTGGCAGCGCCTTATCACTGTTTGCTTACGGCGGGGCCGGATAAGGGCGATGGGGAAACTGAGGCAAATGGGGATTTTTGGGGTGCCCACGCCCCCCCCCCCTTCCCCCCCCCCCGCAACGGTGCCTGGCTCGGTTTCGGCGAAACTCCCGTCCTAATCCCCACGGGAGCGGGCGTGGCGCCAGGGACGGGGGCATCACCCGTGGGTGCTACGCTCCCCGCGCCCCGCCGAGCACCCTGCCCAGGGGAAATGGGTGCTGGGGTCCCCTCACCCTACGAGCACGGGGGGGTGCTGGGGACCCCCCCCCCCTCCCGCACAGTCCCCTCCCCAAGCACCCTCCCTGGGGCACAGGGGTGCTAACAGCTCATCCCTTCTCCGCCCCCCCCCCCCCAGCACCCATCCCAGCGCCTACCCTGATTTTGGGGTGTCTCCCTGGGCCTGACCCCGCTTCACCTCTGCTCCGGCTGAGCCTGGGCACGCCTGCCTCACCCAACCTGCCCCGCCGCGCTTAATTAGCCCACCGGGCTTAATTACGTCTTCACTAGCGTCTGCCACACCCTTCGCTTCTCCCCGCCCCCCACCCCCCCAAAAAAACACCACGCCCCAGTTTGGGGGGGGCTGGGGAGGCTAAAGAGCTTGGGGGGGGGGGGGTGTCAACCCCCTCATTTCCCCCAAGATCTTGGGGTTGCAAAACACCCACCACACTTATAAATTGGAATAATTAAGGCTAATTGTGTGTTAATAATTATAGGGGAGGTGGGGGTTGGGCACAGAGACTGGGGCACTTCAGTGCATGTCGCAGGGCTGGGCGCAGTTTTGGGGTGATTTGCAGGCTGCTGTGGGGTACGGGGGGGGTGAGACCCCCCCCCCCCCAAATGAACCCCATGGGGCTGGAGGAGGAGGCAGCACTGAGGGATCGATGTATTTAATTCAACAGCACACTTCGCTGGAGAACTGTCCCCCCCAGCCTGGACGCCTGTGTTCCCTCCGGGGGGGGGTGGTGTGTGACCCACATCACCTTGGGGGGGGTCAGGGCATCCCCCCCCCCCCCAGCTTTCCATGGGTGACATCCCTGGGGAAGGGTCCCTCGTGGTCCCCACAAGTCATCACTTGGGGTTGGCGAGCTCCTCGATCGCTCTCCGCAGCTGCGAGGGGACAGAGGAGGTGGGACAGCAGCTTGTCCCCCTCCTTGTCCCCCCCCCTCTTTGCCCAACCCCCCCCCCCCCCCCTTTCCTCACCTCCACCCGGCTGACGGCTCCCACCAGCTCCCCGAAGCGGGTGACGAAGATGCGCTGCAGCTTCAGCAGCTCGAAGAGGTGATGGGCCTTGGGGAGGTGACAACGGGGACACGTGAGGACCAAGCCACCCCTGCCACGTCCCCTCGCTGTGACACAGAACTGGGGGGGGCTCCCAGCCCTGTGAGGACGTGTGTGTGTGTGTGTGTGCCCCCCCAGCCCACACCTGGTGCAGGGAGGTCCACGGTGAGAGCTGGAGCACGATGGGCTCAATGGTGCAGTTGTCCCCAAGTGTCCCCGCAGTGGCCAGCTTGGGAAAGGTGCCGTGTTAATTTTAGGGGGGAAAAAAAACCCAGCTTTTTTGGGTGTGGTGAGGTGCTCCCCCCCTACCCCCCCCAATTTACCTTCTCCTCCAGGGGTGCCTGGGGATGGTCGTGGCTCTGGAGGAAGGTGACCAGCTGGGCTCTGCTGATGGTGCCCACCAGCGTGGGTGATCCTGGAGGATGGGGACAAGCCTGGTGACATTCCGCCCCCCCCCTCACCCCCCCACCGGCTGAGGTGACACCCCCCCCTCCACCCCACATCCCACCTGCACTCTCCACCACGGGGTATTCGGCATCAGCTGAGGCATCCAAGGCCACCAACACCTCCTCAAAGCCATCACCCTTGGCCAAGGCCACCACCTGGCGCTCCATGAACTCCTCCACCATCACTTGGTAGGACCTGGTGAGCCACAAAACCCCTTAAATTTCCATCATTTTGCAGAAAATCACCCCAAAATAAGAGGGTTTTTTTTTGGAGGGGGTGGTGGAGAGGCTTACGCCATGTGCCGGCTGCGGATGGGGGGTAGGTAGGGCAGCTTCTTGACGATGATGGTGCCGTCGTAGAAGGATGGTTGATGCTTCTGGGTGATGGCGTTGGCCACCAGCACGGCCACGACGATGGGGAGGACGTGGCCCAGGTGACCGGTGGCCTCGCACACCAGTAAAGCCGTGGAGATGGCATGGGTCACCGAGCCCGAAAAGGCGGCCGCGCCTGTCATGGAGAACCGGGGAGGTGGTGGTGGGGGGGGGATATCGGTGGATGGGTGGTGGGTGTCCCCCACCCACGGGTGTCACCCCTCCCCACCGACTCACCAGCCAGGGCGTAGCCGCTGGGGATGATGGGGCGCAGGTCCCCCTCCGAACGGAGGCCCCGGGGGAAGAGCAGGGCCACCATCTCCCCCAGCAAGCGCCCGATGGCAGCTCCTAAAATTGGGGGGGTGGGGGAAGGTAAGGAGACCTCCCACCCACCAAAATGCTGCAGCTGGAGGTCACCAACCTCCTGCAGCCCCCCTGGGGCTGGATACAGCCCCTGCACCCCCCCTAGACTAGATGTAACCCCCCCTCCAGGGATGGATATAACTCCTGTACCCCCCCAGACTGGATGTACCCCCCCAGACTGTACACAACCCCTGCACATCCCCCCCCAGACTGGATGTACCCCCCCAGACTGTATAGAACCCTTGCAACCCCCCCCCAGACTGGATGTACCCTCCCCGACTGGATAGAACCCCTGCACCCCCCCAAGACTGGATGTACCCCCCCCCCCGCCAACTGTACACAACCCCTGCACCCCCCCCAGACTGGATGTACCCCCCCCAGGGCTGGATATAACTCCTGTACCCCCCACTCCAAGGGCTGGATGTCCCCCTGTACCCCTCTCCCCCGAGGGATAGATGCACCCCCAGGGCTGGCTGCCCCCCCCAAACCCCCCAGGGCTGGCTGCGCCCCCCCTGTGTCCCCCCCTCGGTCCAGGCCAGCAGACACCCAGACTCACCGTAGATGAAGATGGGCATGAAGTAGCCAGCGGGCAGGGGCAGGGTGGTGGCCAGGATCAGCATCCAGAACTGGGGGGGTGGGGGGAGGGCAGAGCCCAATGGAGAGGGGTGGGGGTCACCCCCATGGGGACACCATCTCATGGGGGGGTAGGGGGGGCATGTTTACCTTCATCACCAGGAAGAAGGCCAAAGTGCCGAAGATGGTGGTGGAGGGGTGGCACCACTCCTGCCACAGCCCCCCAGGGTCCACGCCGGGGGGGTCGGTCACCGAGGAGGCGTTGGGGACCAGCGCGCCCCACGTGCGGTTGTCGAAGAGGGAGGTGAGATACTCCTTATTGGTGAGCTGGAAGGATGGACAGACAGACAGACAGACGTCCTGAGCACCCGCCCGCATGTGTTGGGGTGCCCTGGGGAGCCCCGTGCCCACCCGCCCCCCCCCCCCCCCCCCCCACTCACCCGGGAGGCCATCAGCTGCCCCAGCCCAGGCGGGAAGGTGATGGAAGCGAGGAGCAGCACCACCAGCACCGTGTAGACGGGCTTGCTGGAGGGGGGAGGTGGGAGAGAGGTGGGGCTGGGGGGCGCGGGGATGGACAGATGGACACCCAGGATGGGTGGGGCGCATGGGGTGGGCACGGGGATACCCAGGGTGGGGGGACATATGGATGCCCAGAGTGCATGGGGTGGATAGATGGACAACCAAGGTGAGTGGGGTGGATGTGCAGGGTGGGGGGGGGGACACGGACGCGCAGGGTGCAGGGGGACGCGCAGGGTGCAGGGGGACGCGCAGGGTGCAGGGGGACGCGCAGGGTGCAGGGGGACACACAGGGTGCAGGGTGGGGGGGACACATGGACGTGCAGGGTGCAGGGGGGGGGGGACACACGGATGCACAGGGTGCAGGGTAGGGGGGACACGCAGGGTGCAGGGTAGGGGGGACACACGGACGCACAGGGTGCAGGGTGGGGGGGACACACGGACACGCAGGGTGCAGGGTGGGTGGACACACGGACGTGCAGGGTGGGGGGGACACGCAGGGTGCAGGGGGGGGACACGGACGCGCAGGGTGCAGGTTTGGGGGGGGACACACGGACGCGCAGGGTGCAGGGGACACGCAGGGTGCAGGGTGGACACACGGACACGCAGGGTGCAGGGTCGGGGTGGGACACGCGGGCTGCACGGCACAAACACGCAGGGGACAGACAGACAGACAGATGGACAGACGGATGGACGCCTGGTACGGACTCGGTGGCCAGAAGCTTGGCTGTGAGCCGGTTCTCCTTGACGGCTGCCAGCAGCCAGCGCTGGCAGAAGAGGTAGGCACAGCCCACGAGCCCACAGACAGCCCTGCAGAGAGGGCAGGCAGGGGTATGGGCGGGGGTACGGGTGGGGGTACGGGCGGGGCTACGGGCAGGGCCCCCCCTTACCCCAAAATCACAAAGAAGAAGGTCTCCAGGAGGTCGAAGGGGAAATCAATCTTGAGGTCACTCTTAAAAACAGCAGCAATGCTTTCTGGGGTGGGGAGTAGAGGAAGGAATGCATGGGTTTGGGGGTGGGCACCCCAAAAATGGTCCAGGCCACCCCTCCCCCTGGGGGTGGGGGGGTAAAGGGGAAGGGGGGGCCCTGCCTTGCCTTGCTCGCTGTTGAAGACGGCGAGGAGGCGAAACATGAAGGCGCCGCAGGTGGCGGCGAAAAAGCCCCGCCAGTAATCCCGCACGGCGAAGTGGGAGGACATCACCTCGATGCTGAAAAGCACCCCTAGAAAAATTGGGGGAGGGGAGAATGAGGGGGCCTTTTGGGGGGGGGGGTGCTTCGGGGTTCCCCAGGGTGGGATGGGGGCGATCCTCACCGCTGATGGGCGCCCCAAAAACCGTGGCCACCCCGACGGCTTGCGCTGCCACCAGCATCTCATTCTGCTTGAACTTGTTCTGCGGGGCAGGGGGGATAGCCATAACCCCAATTCATTTTGGGGGGGAGGGGGAAGTAAAATAAAATCCCCCTTAATTGGGGGAGGTGGGGGGAAGGAACGACCCCTCTCTTATTTTGGGGAGGGGGATGGCATCCCCACCTCGTACTCCCTCGTGACTGAGGTTCGCATCTTCCCCAAATACGCCGCAGCCGTGGCGCTGAGGTGGACGAAGGGACCCTGGGCGCCAAATTGGGGGGGGGGGAAACACGGGACTGAGTGTCCCCCCCACACCCCCCAAACCACCAGTGACCCCGGGAATTGGGATGGGGTGGGGGGGAATCCCTCACCACTTTGCCGAGGAAAACGGTGCTGCCGCACGCCAGGGTGCAGGTCAACCCCACCACCCTGGCTCCGAAATTTTGGATGGCCAGGTAGTCCTCCAGCACCACGCCAGTCAGGATGGTCTTCAGCTCCGGGATGCCAGAGCCTGGAGAGGGGGTATCCCCAATTTTAAGGGGTCCCCCTGCTACCAGGGGAGAGTTTCGGGGAGGTTGGGGTGCAGCTGGCTCACCTCCTGAGTGCGGGGTGATGCTTTGGGAGAAGCCAGTGGAGAAAGCCGCCAGCGCCGCGGGGTACATGGTCCACGAGAGGTACTTGAGCACCAAGACGTCACCGACCTCTTGGTAAAGCCACCGGTGGGCTGGAGGAGAAACATCGGGAGGGGGAGATGCCCCCTCTCTCCAAAGGACACTCCCCCCCCCCCCATTCTTGGTGAACCCCCAAAAGACCAGGCAAAGCCCCCCCAGGGGAGCCCCGCGTTTACCCTCGTAGAGCCTGGAGACGAGGAGGTCCATCATGAAGCTGATGGTGGCCATGAGGACCCCCAGGATGAAGAGGAAATACCAGTCCTCCCCAACGCGGAAAAGCTGCCGCTTCACCCACTCCAGGCACCCTGCAGGGGGGACAAAGGGGGTGCTGACCCCCCCCTAAAAAAACACCCCCCCACGGTCCCTCCCCCTTGGGTGGGGGGGTCTCACCTCGGAGTCTCCTCCGGGCTTCAGGGCAGGGTCTCCAGCTCTGCTCTGACACCAGCACCCTCTCCTCCTCCTTCTCCCCCCGCAGCCCCCCAGGGACAGGGCGCTCCATCCCAGGGATGTTTTGGGGGACAGGACCCTCCTTTTTTCAGCACCCCCCTTGCCAGTCCTCCGGCCTCAGCCTCCGCTGCCAGACTGACTTTGCAAACGAGCTTGTTAAAAACGACCTTGACGAAGCCAAGGGACCCGCTTGGGCCGGAGCGAGCCGGGTTTCCCCCCCCCCCCCCCACCTCCAAGCTCTCAATCCCCAAGTACATCCCGGGCTGGGGAGTATTTAATAAGTATTTTAATTAATTATCATTATTATTCCTTAATAATAGGCAGGAATGCTGGCATCGCATTCCACGGCGTTGAGAGACGGGGGGGATGGAGAGCGGAAAAATTTCCACCGTCTCCGGCGCAAGACCTAAATTTAGCCTGTTTTATGAGAGGTCTGGCAGGCGGCCGGGAGCCTTAACGAGGCTTTAAAAAGCTCGTCAAGCTGCGCCCCCCCGAAATAACCCCGCTTCGCCTTTGCCGGGAGGAGGACAAGGAAGGGGGCTGCGCTCTTCCTCCCCGGCGGGAGCTGGGGGTCAGAGGTTTTGGGGGGGGGGGGGAAGCGGTGCATGAACCTGAAATCCTCGGCTGCTTTCCGATCAGAGCGCAGCTTCCACCGCTCAGCGTCGCCCGCTGGCACTATGGAGCTTTTCGGGAGCTTCGCCCGGCCCCGTGGCGAGACCTTGGGGTTCCCAGGTGAGTTTGGATGGGGGGGGGGTGTGGGGGTGTGTGGCCAGCACCCCATTTTTAGGGCTGGGAGATGGGGTGAACAGGGGGGTTGGTGATACCTCCTCTCCCCCCACGCTGGTGCATCCCTGTCCCAGAGGGTTTGGACAAGAGTCAGAGCTGTGGGAGAGGTGTTTAGGGGGGACCCCTGCTGAAATGTGGTTGTGACCCTGAGAGATGTTTGGGGGGGGGCGGGCCCTGCTGAACTGTGGCTGTGACCCCCCCCCTCGCCAGCGGCTCGTCCCAGCAACACCGGCACGGTGAAGACCTTGGGCAACACCTATCAGTTCACGGTGGACGTCAGTGACTTCGCCCCCGAGGACATCATCGTCACCACCTCCAACAACCAGATCGAGGTGCACGCCGAGAAGGTGGGCGCTCCCTCCCTTCCTTGCTCACCCCCAGAGTGCGTGGGACCCCAAAATCCTCAACCAGGGGACGTGGGGACCCCCCCAACTCCCTAACAGCCCCAGCCATAACCCCAGTGGGGTTTAATTCTCCATTTCCTCGTCTTTTCACCCCGTATTTCACAGGAGCGAAGCCCATGAGACCCAACAAACTCATGCCCTGTAATCACCCTTCTCCCAGGGCGGGGTGACAACAAAAACCAGCACCTTTGTACTCTTCCTGATGCCACCCACATCCCACCTGTCCCCTTGGGGAGATAAATATTATCACCACACACAAGGCACAACCGCCAGCCTCACTGAAGGGCAGTGAACAAAGTGCCCCTGTCCCACTTGCACCCCAAAACCACCCCTTTTCACCCATTTTTTTTCCCCAGCTGGCCGCGGATGGCACTGTCATGAACACCTTCACCCACAAATGCCAGCTGCCCGAAGACGTGGACCCCACATCGGTGTCGTCCTCGCTGGGGGACGACGGCACGTTGACCATCCGAGCTCAGCGACAGCCCGCCAAGCACACCGACCACGTCCAGCAAACCTTCCGGACTGAGATCAAGATCTGAGGGGTCGGGGGGTCCCTTTCCCCCGCTCCCCGTGAATTATTCGGTTGATTTGGGAAGAAGGTGGGACATGGGGTAGGGAACGGCAACGCTCCCCCGCGGGATCAGACCCGTGCCAAAGGGCTGGTGTGGAGAGAGGCATCCTGTCGCCCACCGGAGAAATTCCAGAGGGGAGTCCTGGCTCCGGTGGTTTTTAGCCGGCGAGGGTTGATGGGGAAGATTCGGCATGCCAAGAGCCCTGCTGGGAGAGAGGAGTGAGGTTCCCTTCCCCGACCCTCTGCCAGAGCTTGTCTCTGTATATACAGCTTGTGATAAATTATTGAGAACGCCTGACTACTGCCTCTTCAGTTTTCTTAATGTTTTCTTGATGCTTTCCCCCTAAAAAGAGCTGCAGGTTCAGCCCCGAGGAGGGTCTCAGTAAGGGCTACCACGAACGATTCCTCCTTCCCAACAAAAACACGGACAAGGAGCCGCCCCAGATCCCCTCTGGTGCCCACAGCCCCGTTTATTTCCAGCCTGGGGTGACTCATTTCTTCCCAGTCGCTCTATTTCTGAGCCATTCTCTCAGCTGTTCGGCCGCCAGCCCACCTGGAAGGTCACCAAATCCTCCTCCTCCCCTCGCCCACCCGCACCCATCGCCTGTGGGGAAGCCCCGAGCAGTGGCATGAGTCAGGACAAGAGTCCCAGCCTGGCTGCCAACCCCAGGCGCTTGTTTTGGGGGGCTCAAAAGCTCCCCCGAATCTCCTCTGAGGGCCTGGCTCCATCTCCCCATGTGTACAAACAACAGTGAGGCGCCTGTTTCGGGCGAGCGGCTGTTTATAGCTACCACACGCCACCCGGCTCGTGTTGCTGCTCAAGCTTTGAGGTCAGCTCGTCCCCACTTGTCCCCTAACGACTCGTGACTTGCATTAACACACCTGCAGCATCAGGGGGGCATGCACAAACACACACGGCTCTCCCATCATCTCCTCGGGTGGTTTGTCTATCCACATCGCTGGTCAGTCAGGGGACTCGCTGCCGCAGGACGCTGAGAGCGAAAAATGTTTAGAATTTATTAAAAAAAAAACTCTTAATGGCTATAAAAAACCCCAGGACGGCTTAGGAAATTGGAGCCATGGAGGCAGGGAGCAGCAACGATGCCCTGCCATCAATCCTCTGTGATGGGATGTGTCTGTCCTGCCCCAAAAATGCCACCCCTGGGTGCTCAGGGCACCCCAGCACTCGGGAAGCCACCCGCCACGGTCACAGCTTGCCATCTAGTGGTGACAGGCTGGCGGGTGGCTCGCACCCACAACGCTCCAGCAAAAGGAAGAAGGAAAAATAAACCTTTTTTTTCTTCCCAAAGCAGGCTGGTTTTGCACGGGGGATTTCCAAGCCAGGGAGTGGGCGAAGGGACGGCTCAGAGCCTCGGCACCAAATAAACCCTGCAGCAGCTTGGCCCCGCTCTGGGCTCCTTTTTGGCAGCCAGGCTGGAAAATCTGGCTTTAGGGGGAAAGAGGTTGATAGGAATAGGAATATTATGTTTTGGGGCTGCCTGCTCTCCAGCCTGCTGCCTGCACCTGCCCAAACTCCCCAGTACCTTTCAATGCACACCAAGAAACGGCTGCCTTCAAAGCCACGCAGGGCTCCTCACGCCACCCGGCCTTCCACACCCACCCGAGGGGGCTTGCCCGGGCAGAGGGCTCACCCTGAGCAACATTTACAGCTTTTGGCTCATGCGGGCCCGCCGGGACCACAGCGCCGGGCGCGCTCCCTGTGGGGATGCCCGGCTGCCATCATGGCGGCTGCCTGACGCCTCGGCCCGCTGGCACACCTGGGGGTGCGGGCAACCTCGGAAGGGGGAACCGAAGCCCTCAGGGGCGTATATCGCGACGGACCGAGGCCCTTTTAGCCCTCAGGGAGCCGCAGGGGCGGCCCCGGGCCCGAGCGGCCCCCGGGAGCTCCGCCCGCCATCCCCGCTCCGTCATGGCGGTGCCCTTGGAGGCGGAGGGAAACTGAGGGCGGTGCCACGTGACCGGCCTCACAGCCCCTGCCTACGCATGCGCGGTCGCCAGGCCGCGCGTGCGCGGCGGCCCCCCGCCGGTGGGCGGAGAGGGGCGACGCCGCTTCCGCCCGGTGACAAGATGGCGGCGCCCTTTGTCTGGTCCGTGTCACGGTGAGCGCTGCGGGCGGCGATGCGAGGGCCCCGCCGGGCCCGGCGTCGCAGGTAGCGGCGGGGGGGGCGGGGGGGAGCCCGGGGAGGCGCTGGGAGGGGGCTGGGGGGCGTGAGGGGCCGGCTTCGGTGGGACACGGGGGCTGGGAGGGGAAGGGAAGGGGGCTGCGGCCCAGCTCGCTGCCCGGCGGGGTGTCCCCCTCCCCAAACAGGATCCGTTTTGGGGGGCACCCCGGCGCGCGACCCCCGTTTTTCTGAGGGGAGGCTGGAGGGGGGGGGGGGTTTTCCCCATCCCCTTAGCACCTCAGGGGGGCTGTGGCAGGTCTCCCTCGACCCCCTGGATTTGTGACACACCCCCCGCCCCCAGACCTGGGGCCGCTGCTGTGAGGGGAGCGGGGGGGCTGCTGGTGCTTGCTGGGGACCTCGCCACCCCACCCTCACCCGGGTGTCTGCGTCCGCCGTGGGAGAGGCGTGCGTGCGTGTCTGTGTGTGTGTCCCACGGAGCAAAATGATCTGGGGCAAGGTCAGGAGCAAAAACCCTGTCCCCCTCACGCGTGGGGCTGCCACCCGTCCCGTGGGGGAGGCAGCCCCGACAGCCAGCACTGCATGGACGAGCCCTGTGACACTGCACGGCCTGTCTGCCAGCTGTCTGCAAGGACGTTGCCGTGGAGAAAACTTCAAAGCGTCGTGGCAGCAGCTCAAGAAAAAGAGGAGTTTTCTCACATTCTGGCATCTTTTTTGCCATGATGACAGTCCGTACTGGCTGTACGTGCCCACTGCAGGCGTTGCTTTTCGGGCAGGGATGACACGTTTTGTGGACAAGCTGCTTTTCTTTCCTTAATTGCATTTCTGCATTAGAAGCTTCTGCTGAAATTTCAGAGCTTGGGCAGCGCTCCAAAGACATTTTTTTTTTTTTTTTTTTTTTTTTTTTGTGAGAAGATGAGGGTTTTGTAGTTCACCGTCCGGGCGCTGCAGGCACGGGCGGTTTCTGAAGGCAGAGCTCGAGGCCTGGCGATGTCTGCGCGGCCCCGCTGGCTCCCTGCCCGCTGCAGCCCGGGGCTCCGGTTACCGGCGGGCAGCCCTGCCTGCACAGCCGCCTCGGGGGCTGCACGAGCCTCCCTGCGCCCCAAACCAAACCAAGTGACAGCCCTGCAGAGCGTCCGTTTGCTGGGGGATGGTCTGGGGTGCTCATCTCTCTCCTTGTGTCTTTCTCCTTTCAGTTCCTTTTCACCACATTTTTCTTCTTGCCTGTCGTCACTTGTGATTATTTCCTCCTTCCCTTACAGCTGAGTGTGAGCTTGCCTTCCAGTTTCGGTGCTGACCACAAACTCCAGATTCTTTCTCTATTTCATCATTTGTGGTATGAGCACAACTGTACCTTGAAAGCTTCGGTCAGATCAGCTCTTAACTTTATTTTTTTTTAACTGAAAATGTTGCAGAATCAGTTACTGGAAATGAGGACAGCCTCCTCTTCGCAGAGACTGAAAGGATTAGGGCTGCTTTGTTCCCCGAGCTGACACACAAGCAGGGTGATGACGGTAGGCAGAAAGCATACCCCCTCTTCCTTTTGATCTCCTCAGCATAAGAATTGGTGGCTGGATGGTGACAGCATTGAAAGGCAATGTTTAAGCCACTATTTCTTTCCAACTTGTGAGGCTTTGGGGTTTTTTTGATAGGTAAACGCTCAGGTGGCAGGTACAGGGAGAGGTTAATGTCGTTAATAATAATGTCTTTAATATTAATGTCTTTAATAAGCGAGAGAGTTTAACGGAGCTCGTGTGGGAAGCTCCCTGGGACAGTAGCTACTGTATTTATCTCCACGAGCGCGTGCGGCAGGCGTGGGTGTTCTCATAACAAAGCTTTTCCGTGATTAATCGGATAATGAGAGACTCAACAGCCACGTCAGGGAGAGGTCGAGAGGGGAAATGGCGCTCGCGTGCCTCCAGCAAGGTGAAATCGGGGGGGTGCCCGGTCCTGGGTTGTTGAGGTGGGACCTCAGCGCCTTCGACATGCAAGGTTTGGGTTTTAAAATGGAGCTTTTCGTCCCGTTTCTCCCAGGATGGCTGCGTAGAGACTGACTTGAGTACCGGGAAGGGAGCAAGCTCTGGAGGAGAGCCGCGTCCGTCTCGCCCGCAGCCTCGGTCCTCCAGATCTCTCCGCTCCTCGCAGCGCAGGGGTGAGTTCAGGCCCTGATCCTGGCTTACCGGTGTTCAACAGCCGCCAGCGACGGGTTCGTGCCGATGGGAGCTGATTTATCTGAGCGGTTGGGTGGCCCTGCAACGCCTGGTTTGGCGTTTGCCCTCCCTGGATCCTCCCCCAGCTCCATCCCCATCTCGGTGCGTCCCATTCTGTCGGTGAAGAGACAGATTTCAGCACCGGAGCCACGAACTGGCGCTGCCCGAGTGGTGGCAGGGAACCAGGGTGGTGTTTCAGGTGCACCATGGTTTTTTTTTGATCCAGCTATTTGGTTTTTTTTAAGGCTTGGAGTCAGGGATTTTAATGTATGAATGTGATCTGAGCTGCTGGGGCACGTTGGGCACCGGGTTCGGGCATGAGGGCGATGCGCGGCTCGTCCCAACCTCTGCGCTCGCGTGTTCCAACGAAGCTGTAACGTGACATTATGGAGAAACCCACAGAAAAGATGAAGTTTGTTGGGAGGAGTTGAGTTTCTTTGGATTTTACTTCCTTTGTAAAGCTCAGGGTGGGAAGCTGAGGAGTATGCAATAGGGGAATGATAAAAATCATCATTCAGATGCAAAGTGCCTCCTACAAATGAGGGAAAGTAGCCTTTTAGTGCATCAAACCGTCATGATTTCTCAGGTCCTGCTGCACAGAGCTTTCCGAGCACGGAAGGCAGCGTTGTTTGTCCTGCTGGGAAAATCCCCCCCCCCCCCCCTTTTTTTTTCCCAGAGCTTCCTTTGCAAACCTTATCGGGTCATTCATATGCGGGGGTTTAGAAAGATTTTGATATAAATGCTGACTTTCCTGGTTCTCAAGGGATGTTTTGGGACAGGCTGTGGGTGTTTGGTTAAAAAGTACCCTGTGTTTTGGAAAGCTGGGGGAAAGTTGTGGCAGTGAGTTAACTGTAAAGACAAACAGCGTCTTTTGGGAGTGAAACTTTCTCTGTGTGTGATCTGGTGCTGTCGGAGGTGTCTGGGCTTCCCGTCCTCTCCGAGAACGATGTCGGAAGCCGAATCAATCCTTGGGCAGATCTGTCCCCGCGCGTGCTGCTAGCACCCACAGCAGACAGGAGGAGGCTCCCTCCACCCACGGTGCTCGCCTGCCGCACGCTTCTGCACACTCAGATGGACCTGGAGGAAGGGACCTGCTCGCCTTTTCCCTGACCTGAGACTCCTCATGCTGTTTTTAAGACCTGGTGAAGCCGCCTTGGGCTGGAAAAGGTCAGAGGGACACTGAGCATCAACTTAGTATCGAAACCAAAAGTATTTCCCTGGCCATAACCTTGCTTCTTCCAGCAGCCGGAGCTTTAGGGACTTCCTGGCTTGGCAGGTTGAACAGTAACTGTGGATAGTCCCCGTTTATTTTCTCCTTGCTCATTGCCTCAGCCCACAGAGGAATAATTTTCTGAAAACAAAGGAGAGTGGAAGGCCCCTGCTTCTCTACCCTGCGCCCTGCAGGTGCAGCCCAGGTGAAAACCTAACACGTGGAGGCAGATCGAGCTCATGGTGTCCCTCAACTTTTGCCAACGAGGTCCTTGTTGAAATATGGGCTTTTACAGTGTTTCCAGGAGTTTGCAGTGTTCTTCAACCAAAGTTGGGCTTCAAGCAGGGAGAATTCCCTCCAAACATGCAATTAAAAAATAAAAATCCTTTGGTATCATGACACGAGGACCTAAAATGAGCAGGAGCCTGAAGATTTTGATGAACGTTTTCCATGCTGAGCCCTTGGCAGGAGTGCCTGCTCGCTGAAGGGACGATGGTACCTGTGCAGAGGCAACAGGGTTCCTGCTCGCAGCTTGGGCTGGCGGAAGAGTGATAAATATATTTCAAATGCTGTTAGGGTGGCAAAAAAATACATTGACCTGTTAATCACCTGTCTCTCCGGCCCCGTGTTGGCATTGTAGCTGTTTACAGGAGAGGTTTTGGGGTTGTTTTTGGTGGGAGAGGCAGGCAGCTCTAACAAGGAGCTGAAATTAGGTTTTTTTGGGCCACGTTTTTTAACTAACAGGGCAGTGAGGTTGTGGTGAATCCGTGGCTTTGTGATCTGCCCCGCTTCGTGGCCCTTTCTGATGTGGCGTCGGGGTTTCGGCCCCCGCCTCCCCGGGGTTTGTTTTTCTCCCCGCAGCCATGGATTTCCCCCAGCACAGCAAGCAAGTCCTGGAACAGCTGAACCAGCAGCGCCAGCTGGGTTTGCTGTGCGACTGCACCTTCGTGGTGGACGGCATCGACTTCAAGGCCCACAAAGCCGTGCTGGCGGCGTGCAGCGAGTATTTCCGGATGCTTTTCGTCGACCAGAAGGACGTGGTGCACCTCGACATCAGCAACGCGGCAGGTAGGCAGGGGGTTGTCTGGTATCCCCCCAGGCCGCTTAAGCAATGCGGTTTGGTGCCCCGGGGATCGAGGGAGGTTCACCAGCCTGTTACTTTGTGCGCTTTGGGCTTTTCAAAACCGCACGGCCGAGAGGTGAAAGCTGATTGCTGGTTGCATCGTGCCCCCCCTCCGCCCGCCCTTGCAGGCTTGGGTCAGGTTTTGGAGTTCATGTACACAGCTAAGCTGAGCCTAAACCCTGACAACGTGGAAGACGTGCTGGCCGTGGCGGGTTTCCTCCAGATGCAGGAGATTGTCAGCGCTTGCAACGCTCTCAA